CACCCGTACGCCGACCCCGCCCGCCAACCATTGTGTGTGCTATGAAGTGTGCGCGTTGTAATGTGCGTTAATAAATTTGATTTTAGATTCTCTCGAACCATCAACTTTAAAGTGTCGCTCTTCAGCCGAGCCGCCACCGCCGCCACCACTCGGCCGGCTCTCGTTTTTATCAGTTTAATGGGCGGGTCGTAATGCAATTTGTGCGACACCCCACCCCACCCCACTCCACCCAACCGCCGCCGACAGCAGCCTGACGCCTGTACCCTGCCTCCTGGGCCGTGCTACCCAAACCAAAAACCCCCTTCCCGGGCAAAGATATGCCTGGGCCGGGCCGTGCCGGGCCGGGCTGCTGTGTAAAGCAATTTTGATAAATTTATGGGGAATACGCTTTCATGATAAGCTAATTAAATTCAATCGCTGTAACCAACTTTGCCAAAAACCGAACCGAAATGCTACTCCAACTCCCCAGCTCCCACCTCCAACCGCCAACCTCCTCTTCCTGGTCCTGGCCACCTCTCAGTGCTGCCGCTCCTCCACCTCCTCCTCCTCCTACTCCCACTCCTCCTGTGTGCCTACTGCCGGCTGGATGTCGGCTTGGTTTGGTTAAAGCTCAACGATTGTTTCCATATCGTTGGGCAAACTAAAGTGAAAAAATTAGCGACAAGCGAGTGGCTTTGGTAATGGCAGAAAAATGAAGAGAAACCCAAGCAGAGAGTGGGCTGGCTGGGCGGGTGAAGCAGGAAAATAATATGGTAATGGAGGTAAAGATGTAAAACTATTCCCCCAAGTCCCCGAACCATTTGTTCTCTGATTAAACACAAGACAAAGAAAAAGTCAATAATGGAAAAACTAGTTCAAACAAATACCAAAGGAAGAAGTTCCAGCAATAAAAACAGTCGGTCATTCATTCGTAGATTTACACTCATTTTTTCTATAGAAGAGCATAATTTATTCAGGGAGCTGTCTGTTTAAGGGATAATTTACTGCATATGCAAACGAATAGTGACGCATTAGGCAGGCATACTCGTACATACATACACTTGAGAAGGAGTTGGCCAGCTGGCCAATTGAAGGAGTAGCAGCGGTTAACTGCCGCAGCAACAGCAGAACAATGTTAATGGCAGGGAGCAATAACAGCAGAACGACGCGTCGTTAACGGCAGATTAACAGCAGTAACAGCAGAACGAGACTAACAGAAGAACAAGACTAACAGCAGATTAACAGCAGTAAAAGCAGAATGAGACTAACAGCAGATCAACAGGAGATCAGATTAGCAGCAGCAGCAGAGAAGGAGAACATCTGTGAGAAATTTTGGAGGGGAGAGGAGACCATCGTTACGTCTACATGTGAAAAAGTACGATGAGTGGGTGATCCATCCCTTAGGACTATTGAGTTGGCTTGTGGTAAGTGAGTTGATTGCAGGTGCCTCCCAGAGCGGGCTACATGAGTTAATATCCCCAAGAAGCAGCAAAGGGGTTTGTTTTGCTACGCAGCCAAATAATCCGTAGATCATAGTCAGTGGTACAGCAGTGGAGTAAATCCATATCACTTATTGTTCGTCATTTATACTGCCCACTGCTTAACTTTGTCATCTGCACGGCAGCAGCCTATGCAGCCGTTCTGCTTCGCCTCTTCATCTCGCGCCTCTCTTTCTTTCCTTTGCCTTGCCATCGCTCTCTCGCTCGTATTAGGGCACGGCAATTCTGCCCGCCTGCCTTTGAAGTCAGTCTGGACCTAGCACTTCTCGCATATCGTAGACCTGATCTTCAATCCGACACAGTCGACCCCGTCTTGAATCGATCAATCGACCCATCGTGAACTCTCTATCAAATCTATCACTTTTCGCTATTTTTGGATACTACATATATAATGAACTACAATGAACTATAATAAACCGTGAATATGTTAACTGCACAATCAAAAGCAATTGCCGCCTTCAGCGTGTGGTTGAGGTGGATGCCATTCAGCTTTGAGTTTATGTTCAGCAGCGAATTTCCGATTACCCACAGGTTGCAGATCCGTTCGAGGGTGACCCGCTTGATGCATTGCGTAAGAATGCCGTACTCCAGTTCGGCTTTCCCTTTCAGATCGTCACAGCATTTGCCAGCATTTGGGACTACCACAATAACCAAATCGTATTGATTTGATTTAAACTGGGGATTTAAAGTGGGGATCCAAGCTCTTGATGCATATCTGCCTTGGGAGCCAGCGACAAATTGACACTGCGACTTTGGATAAGGATCGGGAGAATTAAAGGTAATCAGTAGATTTAGATCTTCCCGCAACTTCAATTTATAATTACTTACCAATTGCTCCAAGTCCCGCATCTTATTTGGCCTATTTGGGGACCTTCTGCTTCGACTCAAAGAAATGAGAGCATTCGATGCGCCACGAACCGTTCCTCCCCACTGAAATCGCCTTATCTCGAAACTGAATCATTGGGGCACTGAGGGTGCGCCTCTGCACCGCACTGAAATCTGTTTGCAGGCGAAGGCCAAAGCGGGAGACGGTCGGGTCGGATCAGAGTTGTGGTTGAAGCAATGAAGCAACTCCATGATCTTGGACTTGCGTGCGTTTGTGGATGAGGATGAGGATGTGGCAGCAATCTTAATCATCGCCGCTGACTGCAGCGTGGCGTCGTTGCGCTGCAATGGAAGTAATCAATAGGGGTAAGAGGTAACTGCAGCGTGGGGCAACTCACATTCACCGACTGCTTTCCCTCAGCGGCACACATTCCAATGGGCAGATAAATGGTTTTCTGTGGCGGCCCAACGTGCAAGCAATGCAGCTTCGGATACTTTAAAATACGGCCACGCGACTTGGAATACTCTGCAACGGTCATCCTCCCTTTATCCGCCACGAATGTTTGTTTGCTGGCCGGCAGCTTGTAGCGCATTGACTTCGTATACCCTCGTGAAACTTTCAAGTGATACTGGCGGCACATAGGCTATGGAAATGCCTTTAATGTGTGCATCTATCTCGGATCGCCTGCTCTCGATATTTGTTTGGGTGCTGGCCCATCTGATAGCGCTCGAAGTACTCGATTATGGGCATCGAGAGTTGGAAGCACTTGTGGGTGATGTCCACATTTACAAATGGTCGATCGCCCAGCACAAACGCCTCAAAACAGACCCAACAAAATCTCCTCGCGATTGCCCAGAAATTGGCCCGGCTCGGATTTCTGAAAGAAACGGCGACCCGAACGTGTTGCCTTGTGGCATGGTGCGACTAGCCCAAACTCCAGACACTGCAGCACTCGCATGGGCTTCTCGTAGATCCTATCCCTCATATAGGTACGAAGGGAGTTTAGGTCGATCTCCGGATCCGCTGTCATCATAATCTCCACCAAGTAATCAGCTCACGGCCATAGCTATCGAATACACTGACCTGCTCGCCCTGGGATCGGCAGTTGAGCTTCCCCGCAGAGTAGCACGAGGCACGTCCATCGAAGGCCGCCACAGCATTGCCCAAATACTGTGCTCGATGTTTCCCAAAGGCTTCCCGGTGGAACTGCTTGGGCAGTTCCTGTGTGAATTTGACATCATAATGGTATGCAACCGCCGGCATCCTATCCACATTCACTTGCTGACTGCAATAGTTGACTGCAATCTCACCCATCTTGCCCAGAGTTCCGCGCTTAAGGGGCTTGACAGCTGGGTTGGGGCGGGGGCACGGTCACCGGACGAAGGAGATCTCCTGGTCCCAGTTCTGGCTGCAGTTCGACGCATTGCAAAGCCTCGGCTATGACCGCGAGATCGGGAAATTGTTTCTTCTACTTGTAATTTTGTACTTTCGGCATATTGTCGGACGTTTGCTTATTTACAAAATGTATCAAAGATTTATAAGAAATATATTGAAATATTTTTTATTTGAATTGAATCAAGCTTCGTGTCCAGCTGACAACAGCTGAACAATATTAACAGAAGCCTTAACAGAAGCACGAGCAGATAACAGCAGAACAACAGCAGAGAAACGGCTAAGCAGATAACAGCAAAACAATATTAACATAAGCAATAACAGCAGCCACTGCAGAATGAGAGCAGCACCAGAGAAGAAGAGGAACAGCAGACAGGACAGGACAGTCGTAAAAGGAGAATCGTAGCAGCCGTCCACCCATAATATCAACAGCATCCGCAGAAACCAGCCGAAATCGAGCTGATGGTTGATTTATTATTTTGATCTGCCAAGCTAAGAATTTTCCAAGCTCCAAGCTCTACTCTAGGAAATAGTCTATAATCGTTTCCATTGCCAGGAGTTGTTAAATATAATGCACATATGTGGTAGAAAACTGCAAATAGTGGGGTAACTTAATTTCTTCTGTGGTTCACAGCATGGAGGAACAACAAAAACAGAGATTTCCGCTGAAGGCTAAACACTGCCAATTAGTTCCAACTAATTTAACCCGATCCAAATTTTCGGTTGAAATGAAAAACATATTCGCTGTCGCGCTGAGCAGCGCAGCGAATGGGTTGCATGTACATGGGGGGCGTGGTCGGAGGGGGTATGGGGCATATTCGTTGACGATTTGGATAAGCATTGTGTAAATTTTGTGGGAAACATGCGCCATTAACATAATTATAATTAGGCCTGACAAGCGAATTAAATTCAATTTTCATTATTTTTAATGAAGAATGCAGGAAAAAGCACACAAATACCAACCACTGCAGTGGAGAGCAGCAGCAGATAGCCTCCCCGCCGGCAGAGAGGGCAGAAAGGGGCTGGTACTATGGCTGGAAAGGGGTGGTTGAGGGGGTGTCATGAAAAAACACAACCGCATCAACATATTTATTGCATTTGGTCGGGAATCGGGATTGTGTCTTGTTGCATATGTTTGGGCTTTCATGCGAGAGGCTGATTTGCATATTAAATTCCAAACATAAGGATAACGATGATAAATCGATCCTAATGTCAACGGGGAGGCAACTGAGACTGGGACTGGGACTGGGACTGGCACTGGGAGTGGTGGAACTGAAACAAATGCCAGAGATTACCAATGCAAGTAAAAGTTTTCGAAATATTATTCACAATTAATTTTCAGAAATGGTCAAACTACACAAACATCGAAGAGTGTTTGTGTTGTGATGGGGAACAGTTCTTCTCCTTGGTTTTGGTGTAGCGCTGTGTCGAGCGTTACGGCTTTGGATCCTCTTTCGTGTGGAGCAGCAACTGCTTGATCTCTTCGTTCTCGGCGACCTGCATGTAGGTCTCGCCATTGGGCGTCAGCACGGTCCGATTGGCGCCCATCTTGAGCAGGCACTCCACGCAGCTGGTGTGCCCCTCCCAGATGGCGGCCAGCAGCGGTGTGATGCCGTATTTGTCCTTCAGGTCCACATCGGCCCCCATGCGAACGAAGAACTGCAACAGCTTCAGGTGGCCAAAGTCGGCGGCATAGTGAATGGGATAACGCATGCCCAATCGGGCATTCACGTCGTAGTAGTTGTTCACGAATAGAGACTCCACCTCATCGTGGGCCCCGTTCTTGATGCTCCACACGATATCTTCAATCTTGCGTTTCTCAGACATTTCTCGCTGTCGATTTGTCTCGTTACATCACGTGAAAGCACTCGTTGGCTCTCGTTAGCTCTACTCGCTCGTTCGTGATAGACTCGCTCTGCTGCGCTCCACCTGTGTGTTCAGTGACCAATCATCAGTTGTGTTGTTGAATACTGGAACTTTAACTGGGATTCTGTTATTTCTGTTATTATTTTGAACTTAATTTTGCAGCCTACTCCACAGTGACTTTTCCTCTATTTATTTGAGCAGTTTCCAGTTTCCATGGAACTGTCACAGGTCTCAGCTAACAAAACTCAATGTTGTGGCAGTTTTAGTTTTATATTTTTCGTCATCACACGCACAGCTTCTGGCAAATCATAAAATTCGAATAACATTAAAAAACATCACTCCGATTTCTGGTTTGTGCAACGAGTGAAAACAAAATTTACACCTACATTTTGGAGGTGGCGGCTTAGTCTGTCTGTGTAAAATATTCCCCTGGTATTCAGTCTATCCATTATACTGAGGCATTCCTTTATTTTCTTTTGCCCCAGAAGAGTTTCCGTACACCTTAAAGATGTCCATGTCGTCGCGGTACACAACAATTGAGCGAGCTTCGTTCCGGTATCGCCTTAAGTTGGAATTCGAGGATATTAAGCTGCAACGCATAATGGCCGAAAGGACGTACGTACATGTGCACATGGGAACCTCTCTTTTATTTCGTCATTTATTTGCAGCAAGGAGAAGCTGAGGCAAGAGCTACTCAACGAGGAGACACTGCGTTGGTATCATTTCAAGAATAAAATTGAAAATCAGCGGGAAATCGCACGCATGCGGTATGGAAATATTCCAGAGGACATGGTCCGCTATCTGAAGCCGAAGGACGAGTACGAGCGTCAGCTGGAGAACGCCAAGGAGGAGTATGTATCGATAGCCATCGAATACGCTTCCAATTGGAATTGCACCATAATACGAGTATTCCTCCTCCCACCATTCAGGGCCGAGTTGGAGTTGGAGGAGCAACGTCTATACATGGCAGCGACCACCATGCCACTGCCAGATGTAGATAAATATTTGGGGGCAATGGAGGAAATTCCAACAACATCTCAAAATAGCGACACGGAAAGAGAAGAAACCCCCCGATACGGTCTATTTGTGCCCGGGCACCAGAACTCCAGTAAACATTCAGACAAGTCTAAGAAGTAATCAAAGTCCTTTCCAGCGCCCACTCATCTCCTATCTCCTGGCTTAAAGCTCTGCCTCATACCAAAACAAAGAGAAAAACATATACTGCAATGAAACCTCAAATCAAAATACATCATATGTTACAAATACTAGTTAATACAATTTTAAATTGACAAAAAAAATAAACCACTTTGGGGCTTAATTGCTGCTACAAAATATTTGATGTTGATCAACTTTCGTGGAGTTCTGAAATGGAGTTCTGTGGCGAGATTTGAAGAAGGACCAGTCCCAGTCCCTGGTTAATATCTGGATTAAAGTGCTGCCTCCATCCATTGCAAATAAATCAAATACAATAACAAAAAAACATTAATCTGTGCTGCGTGTATTCTATTCTCTTCTATAGGCGGATGGATCACTCGGAACATACGTTTTTGCCGCTATTCCATTTATCGATGGTAACCCACAAATATTTGACAGTTGTCAGGTGCGTCTGCTGCTGCTGTTATTTTTATTTTTATTTTATTTTTTGTGTTGTGTTAACCCTTCGTTAACCCCATACGCATGTCGGGCCAGCTGGTTCTGTCCTATTCATACATACATATACATATATATATATATACATACATACACACACACATATGTACACACGTACGTATCCTGCCCACCGCATGGCCTTCTCCCTCGTCCTCGTACTCGTCCTTCGATCCAGCGTTCCAGCGTTCCAGCGTGCCAGCGTCCCAGGCTGCGTCCTACGCGCCAGACGCAATTTGTATGCAAATTTCCATGAGAATCTCAACACATGCAAAAACAACAACCACACAAAGGATACACAGAAGCAGCGCAGCAGCAGCAGTAGCAAAAAATTGACTGAGCGTGAATGCAATGGCGGCAGGGGGCATATAGAGAGAGAGACAGGGAGAGAGTGTGAGTGGGTGTGGGGGTAGAGATTGGGCAACCAATTGGTTACAAATACATAATAAGTAATGGCCAAAAGTGAGGGGAGGAGAGACCCAAAACCCACATCCCACACCCCACACCCCACACCCCACACCTCAAAAGTGAAAACGTAAAGCGTTGTGCAACACTTGAAAATCGGTGACCGCCTTCGCTGAAGCTGAACAAATTGAGAAGCGCCTGCTACTCGTAAAGGACACTCATTCACATTTGCATATACTCGCACGTGTGATAGTGGAACTGGTATCAGGCAGTGAAATACTCCTGCCAAAAGCCCTTCTTACGTATATTACGCGCATCTAGTGGTGAGGAGGCAGCGAATGTTCTGTTGCATCCCTAAGACCTGTTGCTGCATATCATCCATCATTTTTTCCTTGCTTCGGTTGGTTCTTTCGGTTCATTAACTGCACAAGAAATGCAATACCCTAGCCAGATGTCTGTTGCTGCTGCTGTTGTTACTGGTAGGCCTAGCAGCCAGTCTCTCCTGCTGATGCTGCTGCTCTCTCAGCAGTTCCTGGTGTCCATTATTGCTCCTGGAGCTAGTGTCTTTATTGCCAGATGGTGGGACCAAAGCCTCTGTAAAATGTCAGACGTGAATGGGCGGGATTTCCCTTCCTTTGGGAGGGACTGTTGGGCGAACAATTAGCACCGATTTCTTGTCCGTTTGCCTATGGGAAATTTGTAAAGCGAATCCGCGCTCTCGTGGAAAATTCCTACCGTAGGCGAATTAAATGCGAACGATATTTGTATTGGGCTTTCTAGCCACACAATCCCAAAAAACCAAACACACACACACACACACACAAGGCACAGCACATCACAATAAAAGTAATGTAAAGGAGCGGAAATAAAAATAAAAATAAAATTAACTTCAATTGTTCTGCTCTTCTCACACTAGAGATACGAGTAGTGTGCTATTTGGATGGGATGGGATGGCTGTTTGGTGGTTGGGGGGTTTGGGTCTGGTCTGAGGTCTGAGGGCTCTGTGTGGGATACGTGCCACACCGCTCCCGCTCGCACTCCCACTGCCAGCCGAGAGGGGGCAGCATACCAAAGCCACTTTCTATGCAAATTTTTATGTGTTAAATGCATTTTGTTGGATTTAACATTCTCGCTGATTTTTTGGTTTACATTTTTGCATATAAATGAAGGCAAACTTTGCTTTGGTTTTTGGGCACACAACGAATAAAAGAGGCGTGGCCCCACACAGAGTGGCGGAGAGAGAGAGAGAGAGGGAGAGCGAGAGGGGAGAGACACACAGACACACAAATTAGAGGATTAAGTAGCATGAATGCTGTACTGTACTGTGCTCTCCTTCCTTTGGATTTGGCAGAGCTCCTTCTACTTTGGTGCCTGGGATCCATTGTCTCAGAAGTAGCAGCAGCAGTGGCAGCAGCAGTGGCAGCAGTGGCAGTGGCAGCGGCGAGACAATTACGCTAATTCGCCTGAAATTGTTTTGCATTTTGCCTCGCTCGCTGCCAGTACCAGCACTCCTATTGCCTGCTGCTCACTCTCTCTCTCTGTCTTTCTTTCTGTCTTTCTGGCAATGACAATGACTGCAACAGCATGTGTGTGAGAGTGTGTGTGAGTGTGTGTGTGTGTGTGTGTGAGAAGAGCAGAATCTTTTCATCGCTTGTTTAAACAGTTAAATTTGATTGCGCTGTAAATAAGAGACAGAGAGAGAGAGAGAGAGAGAGCGAGAGAGCACCAGCCGCAGCCACTGACAGCCACTGCCTGAGGGAAATGTCAGCTGAAACCCGTTATTAGACTCACACCAAAACGAAACGAAACGAAAAGAAACGAATCTTAAACCAAAGTTTACATAATAGTGAGACAATTTCCCATAGCACACCAGCAGCAGCAGCAGCAGCAGCAGCGGCAGCAGCAGCATCCCATTCCATCCCAACAAATGTCCAGCAGTAAATCTCGACTTTCTGCCCAGTCTAATTAAAAGATAAGAAATTGGAGCAAGGCTGAATGAGGAATGAACCAGAGAGAATGCAGATGGAGATGAAAATGTACATGTACATACATAGATGTAGATGTAGATGTAGGTGTACGAGTACGAGTACGAGTACGAGTGGATGTAGATGAACATAAAGATGGAGGATGAAGGAATAACAATGGATTGATAAGTAATGGGGTCCCTAAGGATTCCTTTAGGCTTTTATTTGCTATTCAAGTGCCCCCAAAAACTTTCAAATTCATCAATATTACCTACATATATTATTATGTAAAATCAAAAGTAATTTCAGCAACAAAAAGCTCTGATCTTTGAAGTCAAAATAAAAGCAATTTTCGAAGCTTAATGATTTTTAACTAAACCTGAAAAAATATATTAAATTGATTTAATGTATGGGCTTTGCGCCTTTTTTTAGCTTTTAGTTTCCATATAGCCTTCCAATTTTGAATTAAAGCTACTCAAAATTCAGCTTAAATGTGTGAAGGGGAAGGGAAGGAAATTCAGCTTGTGAGTCTCGTGGGTCAATTTGTATTATTTTACACGGAGTTGCACATATGCACATATTAGGTTCCGTTCCTTGGCTTGTCTACTTAATTAGCTATGATATCGATTAATTTTAGCTTTACAAATTAGCTTAATTCATTCCCATAAAGTCTGCTCCGTTCTATAGTTTATCTGCCAACCATTTAACTTAATTTTATTTTATTTATTTCATTCCTAATGAAATTCCCACGCTACACCTGTCCTGTCTGCTTCAGAAATGTACCATGAAATTTCACAACAACAAAACAAATCCATGAAAAATAGAAAGAAAACGAGAAGGAACGTGTGAGTCGCTTCTGGGGACGCGACTCTCATACCCGTACTCAGTCAGTATATACATTTTTGAGCTCATGATTTTTAAGAATTTAGAAAAAAAAAATTTTACATTTTACATTTTTTTGCTACATATGATATCTAGATCTACATATACAATGTATATTCTACACTAACATGTAGATTGTACATGTACCATTTATATTCTACATCTCCTCCGCTAGGGGTTGCCGCGCACTGAACGCGGCAGAATGTGCGAGCGAGAAGGAAAGAGATGCGTTGTCGTGGGTGGGAGGGGGAGGGGAAGCAACTGAAAATTAATTTCTTCATTCTGGCTATAATTATGATCTGATCTAGTTCATATTTGGCAATCTGGTAGATATGGGCATCTCTACGATACTGCGTTTAGTTTTATCGTATCTTTAAATTGTGCCTGCCACAGATTTTCGTCCTTTGTGAGGGCGGAAGGGGGCGGGGGAATCTGAATACACTTGAGCAGGTGATATCACATAAGTCTGGAAACCAAATTTGGTTTCGCTAGCCTTATAGCTCTGAGATCCAGGCGCTCATCGACGACGGACAGACGGACGGACGGACGGACGGACGACGGACGGACGGACGGACAGACAGACATGGCTATAACGACTCGGCTATTGATGCTGATCAGAATATATATACTTTATGGGTCGGAAAATTTTCCTCTCTGCGTTACACACATCCACTTTTACCACAAATCTAATATACCCCTTAACTCTTTTTTGAGTACGGGTATAAAAACCCACCTTAAAAATAACAGAAAGATTTCCCTCGCCACCCACCTGACCCAGTCGTTTTTAAGTATAAATGAGGGACAAAAAAATGCAAAAAACAATTCAGTAGAGTTTTCCCCTAAAAATTCTCCTCCTCGACCGTTCCAGGGTTGGGCTGTGGGGTGGGGGGCATTTCCCACTCGACTTTCTCATAAATAAACATCACAATTATCATAGGTAAACAAGCAAATAAATACAGAGGCGGAAAGAGCACACGGAAAATGAAAAGCAACAATTCAATTTCCGTGGCTTTTCATGGTCTCCTGTTTACATGGGACCCCATGCCAATAACCATAACCATACCATGACATAGCCATAGCCATAGCCATAGCCATAGCCATAGCCTTCACCATCCATTTCGAGGCACTTTCCACTTCCACTTTCCACTTCAACTCGAGCTGCTGCCATTCACCATCGAAACCATCCATTCATCGAGCCAGCGAACGAGCGAACGAGCGAACGAGCGAGCGAATATTCATTGAGAAGTTTCGTGTCGACAACTTTAAGTTTGAATGCTTGCTGCTCGTTCACTTGCAGTTTATTGCTTAAAATTCATAATGATAATAATAATAGGAGTAGTAATAGTGCGTTCTGCACTAATTGCAACGGCAACAACGACAGCGAGAACGAGAACGAGAAGAGCAAGAGCAGCAAGAGCTAGAGCAAGAGCTGGAGCAAGAGCATCCCAAACACTTGAGTTGTTCACTTGTGCACTCGGCAATTGTTGGGCGAATGGCAGATTGGCCGAATGGCAGAATGACAGAAGGATGCAGCAAGAAAGGACCTGGCATAGTAGCAGGATAAGGGCAGCAGCAGCAGGAGGAGGAGTCGGAGCAGAGCAGAACAGAACGGGGCAGGAACAGGGCGTCACTTAAGTCAAAGTGAGAGAAACTTTTCAGCGCCATTCGAATGGGCAACCAGATAGGAAATACCCAGAGAAACGTGAGCAGAAGGACGGTACGGTACGGTACGGTAGGGCGAGGTAGGGCGAGGATATGCTATGCCCATTCATTCATTCATTCATTCGTTCATTCAACCATTTTGCCGCTTGCATTGAGGCAAAATTGTTCTACAAAGATACGAGTAACGAGAATAGAGTCAACTAGATAGGACGTGGCAAGGATATCGCAGAAGCAGAAGCAGGAGAAGAAGTAGAAGGAGAAGCACACACACAAACACACAGCCAAAACACTCGCATACCCATTCACATCTCGAGTGCACTTCATTGCTGTCGCATCTACCCAATCCTCTGTGCTCTGTGCTCTGAGCTCCATCCTCCATCCTGTACCCGTCGCTGCCAACAAGCTCCAAGGATGTGCAGCCAGAGACTCGCCACCACCCCACAGACAGGACAGACAGGATCCATTCCAGCCAGTGCCTGGCTGAACGCTGTGCGCCGAGTGCTGCGGGCGCTGCTTAACTTTAACTTGAACTCTAAAATAACAACCTTCCGTTGTTTTTGGCTTGTTCAGTTTTCGTATAATTTCCTTGCAGGTATTTTCATGGCCCTACCTCCCCCCTCCGCGCCACATACAAAAGCTGTGACAGCTGAGGAGGGCAGCAAGGAAAATGGAGGGGGAGCAGGACAGGACATTGACAACGGTTGACGAGCAACAGCCTAGAAGGCACATTCACATTCTCCCAATCCAAGCCAACGCAACGCAACGGAAAGACTGCTTGGACTGCTTTGACAGCTTGGACTGCTTGGCCTGCTTTGATTGCTTGGATGGCTTCGACTGCTTGCACTGCCAGATGAGTGAGTGAATGAGCACATCTGGCTGAGAATCGTCAGGAAGTGGATCAATAAATGATCAGAGGGAAGGAAATGAGCAAAGAATGCTTGGGCAAATGGCTGAGTGTCCACTGAGTAGAGTCCAAGTAGTAGTTTGAGCCGTAAATGAATCACCAAGTGGATGCACATTTTAGATGCCAGAAGATGCCAATCATTGAATGTTGAATATTTTGAAGGATCTTCTCTGCTCTCCTCTCCTCTCCTCCATGGAATATAGTCCCCTGATTATACGAGCATGTACAATGTAATTTACACAACACCCGCCGCCCATTGTAGGGGCGTTTAATGAATGCATTCAGTGATTTATCCAATGGCAGGGCACTGCCTCTGCCTCTGCCTGCCATCGCAAATGCAGCAACATCCGTTTGAATGCCTCATCAGCGACTGAATGATTGTCTGAATGAATGAATGAATGAATGAACGAATGAATGAATGATTTGCCATGCACATGCACATCCATGGCTAATCAGATCTGGTTAGGCCAGATGGCTAGGGGTAGCCGCCACTCCCACTGATTCGATCAATCAGAGCACTCAATTACTCATTCCCAGGACTCATTACACTTGATGAGTGTTTGGCATTCAGTCGCTTGCCGGCTGCTTGTATCGTTGGCGGGGGCGTCGGCGTCAGCGGCGGCGGCGGCAGCGGGTGCTTTGTGCTTATCTTTCTGCTGCTCTTCCCCTGCCTCTGCCACAGCCCCTGGCCAACTGTTACTTGCCAGTTAGGCCCCCTGACCTCTGCCACTGCCACTGCCCCTCTGTCCGCCTCCTTTCAATGAAAACGAACGAGGCAAGGAACTGCAAATGCTACTACGGTCTCTCGCTCTCTCTCGCTCTCTCTTGCTGTACCTCTGTTTGCCCTGCAGCAACTTTTCAGCTGCCATCACCTCCTGCCTGTCTGCCTGTCTGCCTGCCTGCCTTCCATCCTGCCATCCTGCCACCTGTGCCACGCTTTGGGGCATTATCATCATCAGACGACGGTGTGCGCTGTAAGTGCTGGGAATGCTTCTGCTTCTTCTGCTTCTTCTGCTGCTGCTGCTTCTACTCGTATCTTCTGATGCTGCTGCTGCTGCTGGTGCTGCCAACCTCTGTGTATGTTGTCATAATAGCATGTGCCACGCCTTCCCAAGCATTTGCCAGGGGCGGTCTATAATAAAAATAACAACTTAACTAAGTAGACAATGCTGTACCTCGCTCCCTCTCTTTGTCTCCCTACCTCTCCCTTTCTGTGTGTGCAGGCAGTCATCAGCCAGTTGTTGTCAAACTGTAAGCAGCTTTTGTGCATCAGAAGAGGCAGAAGGAGAAGCAGCAGCAGCAGCAGCAGCAATATAAATGCAACACAAACTGAAACAGAACAACAAATCGAAGAGAAGAGAAGAGTAGAGTAGAGTAGAGTAGAAGGGACTAACTACAGCAATCGAGTACTGCACATACACTCGCAGATATCGGATAATTATCCGGCATTTGGCATTTAGTTGCAGCAATTTGTAGGCATAATTTCCATTCATTTAGCTACGATAGACTATTTTGTTGGACCTCTCGCGGTGCTTGGCGATGCCTGCGATCACCATGTACACGTCCATGGGGCAGAGCTTGGGGGCTTGGCGCGATTTGATCCGAGTGGAGATGACCTTCTTGGGCTTCTTTCGACGCGTTTCATCCTTGTCCTTCTCGTCCTCGTTCCTCTCCTTCTTGAAGGTCTTCTTCTTGGTAGTAAACGAAAGGCCCGTGTCCAGCCGCTTCTGGCCATAGTTCCTCTGTACAGGCAGCAGAACGGCTGTGTCCGTGCAACCAGGAAAACGCATGATCAAAACTGATTGCAAGAAATTCACGCAAAAATACTCAAATATATCGATTAGTTTCTGCTGAAATTTATCCGGCGCCTTGCCGCTGCGCTGCACCATCTGAAACATCGTTGATTGGTGTTGTGGGGGATGGGAATGCAAGATTTTAGTTCAAATTACAGAATTACGAGCAAAATTTGTTCTGAAATTGAAAGCTCTGCCTACTGCTCACGGCCGAGCAGCTCGCTGTCATTGCTGGCATTGCAACTGGCAGCCGATTGGCATGAACAGCATTCGATCCCTCCTCTTCAAGGGTATTCCAAAAGAACAACAGACCAACCACAGGTGCATAAAGGAGGTGCATAACCCCCCACCCCCCTCGTTCCACCCGTTAAGCTGTGCAGTCAACGGTTGTCGTTGTTTTGTGTTTCGGCAACGCTCGAAAGTTTCCTTTTATCTAAGATGAATAATCTAGAAGCGCAGAGTCCGCACAGTGGCTTCTGGCCATCCCCATCAGCACCTAACGCTGCCCCTGCCCCTGCCCCTGCCCATCCCCATCCCCATCCCACCCAACAAGCATTTGATGAGTCCAGCAAACCAAGGGTTGGGGCAGGGGAAACCGCAGCAGCAGCAGCAGCAGCCACAAGCGTCGCACCTTTGCATTTTTATTGTGGCTTCTGATATCCCCTGCTGGCTGTCCATCCGCTGCTCGGAGGACGTGCTCAGGGGAGTGCCCGACTTGACCATGATAAGGCTACCCCGCAGTGCCCCAGTAGTCAGTGATTGCAGGACACAATTTACATCTTTTAATGTATAGGAAATCAGGCAGATTCTGCACAGAATATTAGCTATGGCAACGGAATACCTGTACCCGGAACACTGCGGATTGCTGAAGGTGTAATCGAGGAATAGAAGGAAAGCAGCACTGGATGGGCTTTCACTCACCATACTCACACTTTTATGAACCTTCTCGCTAAGCAGTAGCCCATGGGTCGACTCCCTACACTTTCTCTCTCATTCTCGGGTAAAGCTCCCTCACCATCACCTGCGCGCTTACCCATTACCGATTGTTCTGCTGTTCCCTGTTGTTGTTTTGTTGCGGCTTCTGTTCTTCTGTTCTGTTCTGCAGAGGAGGACACGGAGACACGGAGACACGGAGACAGAGGCGATAATCCAGGAGCATCTGTAGCTGTGTAACTCTGGACTGCCTGCCTGGCTGCCTGGCTGCCTGCCTGCCGCTGGCCAAATGCTTAATCCTTGTGCGGAAAAAGCGTTACGCAGCAAAGTTGGGCCTGTCCTCCCCCCACAGCCTCTCTCGCTCTCTCTCTCTCTCTCTCTCTTTCTTCTGCCTCTGCTCCTGCCCTGTGTGCTTCCTTCTTGTTGCTGTTTAGTTAACTCAATAAACGCAAGTGGCTAGAGGGGGTCGGGCGTGGGACGTGGGTGTGGGTGTGGGTGTGGGTGGGGGGCGTGGGGCGTGGGGCGTGCGGTGCAGGCGATAAAATAATCTCTTTCTCTCCATCTTTCTCGCTCTGTTATGCTGTCTCTGTCTCCTCACCGCTTAGAGAAAAAGTGCTGACATTTGCGCAACAATTTTCTCATGCTCATTTACTTGTTTACGTTATTTTCTCATTGTCGCTGGACTTGGTGGCTCTACTCTGCTCTGCTCTGCTCTGCTTGTTGGCTCTTCAAGTGAGTGTCACACACTCTACCAGGAGCTGGGTCCAACGACTTTGATCAGATGCTGAGTCCAGCGAAGAGAGTAGAGAGAGCAAGCGGGGAGCATCATACCACGATTATAAAACCATTTAAATATATGGAAAATCGGTTCATCTCCGCTACAAACTGAACGCAAAAATTAAACAAAAATATCAGTTGGAGGGACTGCAGATCTGCAGATCGATGTATCTGTCTCCCAACTCCAGTCTCCAGTCTCCAATTCACAATTTGCTTTGAATTTATATTTTATCTCCCAGGTATCTGCAGAGGGTATCTCCAGTGTTGGATTGGACTTTCTTTTGTTATTTTTGGTGCTTGTTGCTGGTGGTGCTGCTGGTTGTTGTTGCTTTTGACAATTACACAAAAAACTGTTGGCATTTACCACAAGCATACGGCCAGAGTCAGTCAGCAGAGCACCCGGGGGCAGACAGGCAGGCAGGGAGGCAGGCAGGCAGGGAGGCAGACAGGGGAGACAGGGGCTAACCAAGGTTTGAATAGATGAAAATCGTTGGGTAGACCAGAGATACTGAGATACTGAGATACTGGGGCGAGTAGAGCTGAGAGATGAGAGGACAGTTTCATGTCAACAGAAATTGTTCTGATTCTGGTACTGGTTCTAGTAGCAGTGCCAGGGCCAGGGCCAGTTCCAGTGCCAGGGAAATGGCCAGCCAGCTCAGCACTTTTTGCTCGTAAAAGGATAGCTCCAGCTCCAGCCCCATGCCCCATGCCGCAGCCCCATCAGAATGCCGCCTATCCATTAAAACGTTAAAAGCTTCTTGAGAACGCGTAAAAACTATTTGGCTATCTCCCCACACTCCCCACACTCCCCACACTCCCCACACTCCCCAATCGCCTCTTCAACTGCTTCTTGGCGGGAGTTGTAGCTCCTCTGGCTCCTGATGCGTAACATCATTAAAACTTGAATAATCAGCCCATCTAGCCCACTCTATCCACCATCCACTATACCTCTATACACCCGACTGTCTCTCTGTCTCTGGTTATATAGAAACAAGCGAAGGAACAACAACAAAGTAATTCACTTTTCCGTTTGCAATTTGGTGCGATTCCTCTTGTTTTTTTTTTTTTTATTCGGAACGGGAACTGGAATCGGGGCAGTGGGGAGGGCTGGAATGGGGTTTATTTTGTTTGTGTGTCTGGGGCCAAGGAAACAAGTTTCGGAATTGGGTTAGAAGACAACAGCAGCAGCAGGAGCACAAGCAGCAGCAGCAGCAGAAGGATGAGGAGTAGGAAATGTGAATACAAGTGAGTGTTGGCAATACAGAAACGGAATAAACATGGAAACGGGAACAGAAGTTGGCAGAGAAAATACCAAAGGAAATATGAATTTTGAGTGCCACGAGGACAGGCAGACAGAAGCAACCAGAAAATGCGAATGCCGATCAGCAAAGTGAAACAGAAACAGAAACAGAAACAGAGTGGAGGAGCACAAGCAGTAAGGAAATAATGCCCAATAAATGATTGAACATTGCACAATAATCTCGAAGGAAGGGACTAACCGAACCCCATTCAAAAACTCTAAGCAAAAACAATTAATAAGTGAATAATTACGAGGTACTCATCGTACGAGTATCAGCAATGTTTGAAGGAATGTTTTCCAGAGGGCCAAAAATTCAATCCAAACTTGAATATGGAATATTCATCAATGCAAATAAGTGAGTACGAGTGAATACGTTCAAGTGGCTGATGGCTGAGGGCTAATGGGTCTGTTTAGGCAATTGAATCAAATGAAATGCGCCAAAATTTCCATTCGAATAAATTTGATTATTCAATACATGAAGGTCGCAAAAAAGGGCAAGCAAAGTGCGGAAATGCGGAAATAAATATGAATATTCATGGCGATGAAAATGAAAAATTTATAAGCGATAAACGAAAGCACAGACCCCTGCAGAGATGAGTTGGTTGTTGCCAATCGATTGGCCATCGATAAACAGGTCTTACTCTGTGTGGGCGGGGGAGGGGGAGGGGTATGTGCCGATTGGGGTGGATGGGGGAAACCGGAAATGATTGCCGAATGGCAAGTAAACAAAATAATTTATCATTTCGACGGAAGTTCTCGCCCTGGAAGATGTCTAAAGAGGAAAACTCCCCCCTCCATCCATCCCCTTTCACTAAGTCCCTCAGCCAGACAGAGAGAGAGAGAGCCAGAGAGGGAGAGAGGGAGAGAGGGAGACAGAGAGTGAGTATGTGGGTGAAGAAATGTGGCAGTGCAGGCGAAACTTTGGCGCAAACAAAATTAACGGTAATAACTTGGACTTTTGGCCGAAAAAAAAACGAAGAAAAAAAAAAGGAAAATGCTTTCCCTGCATTTGCATGTGTGTGTGTGTGTGTCGGTGTGCGTGTGTGGCCATCCAGGGTTGCCACGTTTTGCGTTGAGCAAATAACCATAATGAAGTTTGCAAAGTTTTTTGACACATGCAACACTCCCCCCTCCCCCACCATCGGCCCACCCAGAAGCAAAAGGCGAGCACAAGTTACGGGAGGGGGTGTGGGCTGGTGAGTCCACGTAAGGGTTCTGGTTCTGGTTCTGGTTCTTGTGGAGGCCTTTGGCCTCCCCTGCATTTCGGCCATTGCCAAAGTGTTTTGGCCGCGCTTTGGCCAAAACGACAAGCAAATATTTGCCAAGTGGCAAACAAAACTTGGACCAAGGACCACCCCCCCCGAAACCCTGATGCCAGACCACCACCCGTTCAAGGACTGAGAACTGTGAGCTGAGAACCCTGCTGAGCTCAACGATTTTGCAATGGGCCCCCCTCCCCTTCCGACAGCTTGTTTTTTACCCCAGCGAAAATATTATTTTTATTAATGCTCGTCTGGACTTTGCTCCTGGATGACGACGCCGCCGACGACGACGCGACGATGAGGACGACGATGAGGACAATGATGACGGCGTCGTCATCTGGGGTGAAAATGTGTTTTATATTTGACAAATAAACGCAAACGAAAAGCAACAAAAAATGAGAAGGCCAGAGCATGGGTGAACGGGGGAAGGGAAGGGGAGCGAAAAGTATTGGGTGCAAAGTTTTCCTTTCGTTATTCTATTTTTTTTTATTTTTTTTTGTTTGCTTCTGCCGCTGCCGCTGCCGTCGCCGCCGCAGGAAGCGGAAATCGTGCGTGTAATTGAACGGACATTGAACGAAAACTTTCGGCGAAAGGTTGCGACGCCTTGGCCTCGTCCCCGTCCCCGTCCCGGGCTGGCCTAGTGGGGACTGGGGCGGTCAGTAGGTGGTCCACAGATGTGTTTCAGTGTGCTGTGGGGCTGATGGGCACAAAGTGCCCGTAGGAGAGGTCACCATTTGTGGTCATTTTTACGGGCGCTGTAAAAACAAAAAAGGCATTGAGCAGCATCGACAAATAGCTGCGAAACGAATACAAATAAATATCCAGCAGATACTTGTGCGCTGGCAGATACATTTTGTACTTTTATGCTGCTGCCATATTTTTTATTTTTATGACTCACGGGCGGTGGGTCGTTGCTGCAGGGCAGGGGACAGGGACAGGGACAGGCATTATCCTGCAGAAGTGTCCAGCAGCTGGTTCGCAGATCGTTTTAGGGAACGAGCGGCGTGGAATGGGATGGAGCTTGGAGCACCAGCTGATGGATTTGCAGGAAGAAAAGACAATAGCAGAGGCAGCATATGGTTTGATGAGTATTGGAGCTGCTCTGTGGCAAGTTTCTCTGTGCTCACAGATGATCGCCTGGGGCCAGTAGTTCCCATAGTTCCCATAGTTCCCATAATTCAATTAAGTAAGTGCACAAAAGTCAACCATTTCAAAGCATACATATGTACGCATAGATAAGCAGCAGCCGTCAAGCCCAATCCCACTCCCATTCCCACTCCGAATTCAGCTTTGAAGTCATTTCAATACCCAGCTGCCGGAGCACGTAGCAAAGCGTTTACTTCGCTGCCGAAAGCCCATCCCGTATGCCGGATCCAGTACTCAGTGCTCAGTGCTCAGTATCCAGGATCCATCCATCTGTCAGCTGTTGCTGTTGTTGTTGTTGTTTTTTTTTTGCCGTGGGCGCCGCGACTGCTCAATTAACACAATGACAGCGGTACATTGAGAGAGGATAAGGAGGAGGAGACGCACCCGAGGGCAGAAGCAAAAGGCAAAGGCAAATGTCAAAAGTGTTTTCTAATTTGCGCAACACTCAAAATATACACACAGATGGAGAACAAGAGTAACAAGGGGGGCAGGCGGTTGGGTAACAATAACGACAAAGGCACCAAATAAAGCCAAAATGTATTTAACAAAGTGACACAAAACCAGACAAAAAAAAATATATGCATATATATTCACAGCTGAAGGAAAATAAGTTTCCTGCCATGCCCCCCCCAGCCCCCCACCCACACGCCCCCAGCACACAGCTCGGCTTCTAAGCTTGGCGACTGTACAAAAATGTTTAATTTATCAAATGTCAACGCCTAAAAGACGGCAACATTTGTCGTCGTCAATGACAATGATGATGACTACAGAGCGAGAGCGACAGAGAGACAGCGACGCCGTCAGACGTTGACGCTGTTAATACCCTGCCCCACTGGCCCCCTGGCCCCTGGCCCACACACCCTGCTATGCCCCATCCACCCACAGCTCTGCTGCTGGGCCTGCGGCAATGTTTTTTGAAAAATGAACGTAGATTTCCCCATACGGTATTATTTATTGCAGCCATCTTCCTCTTCCTCCCATGCCATGCCAAAAGTTGTACATTTGTTTAATGAATTTGACGAATTGTGAATTGTCCTGGCAGATGTTCTGCCTTTAATTGTGGTGTAGCGTAGCATACTGCCAGGGAGGCCCAGCGATCCGTCAACCAAGACTCGTCGATTGGGAGGATGCATCTAACAGCTGCGAGTATCACAGATCTTAGGTCAAACTTGGATATTCGAGGGTGATTTACCTGCTGCCTAGTGGTGGCTTAGTGCCTTGGCCTTATTATTTATTACAGTGTGCAGATCGTCAGTGTCTGTCTTGTACGTGTCCAGCGATGTTCCATAACCCTCCAAAGCTCTCAGTGTAAACATCAGGGAATGCTCCTGCATACCAGAAATCAATGTACATCAATCGTATGTATTCCTGTGGGCTGTGACCTACCTGTTTCAGCCGCTTCTTGTCTTCGATTCTTTGCCAGTGTACAAAAGTGTGTGCTGGAGGAGGAGGTGAGAGGAGCGATGTGGGGGATTCTACATCCACTCCATCGACTCTGGCTGCTGGTCATCAATGGGTGACGATTCCGTTTCCATGGGTGTAACTGGCAACGACTGGGATTGCTGCGGCAGTGCCAGCTTTGACACCGCCAGCGGCAACTTCGTGGCAGCAATGGCTACCGGTGTGGGTATCAGGGAGCCAGTGATCGGTAAGTCCTCCCCCTTGGCTGGGACGTGCTGCCACTGCATGGCCATTTGGTAGTCGGCCGAATCGAAGTACTTCTGGGCGTTGCGCTTCACCAACAGCTTTTTGGTGAACTCCGAATTGGGGCAGAGGTTCGGGTACTTATTCTGATTCTGATTCGGATTCATTTTCGCTAGACGAGAGCTTATAAAATAATTTCGATTCTATTTCTATTTTGATTTGATCACACAAAAGGTGAGTAGATTTTGAACAGAAAACAACTCAGGGAAATGCCTAAATAAAGCAGGCTCTGATGCTGATTGTAGCTGTGCTCGATCTCTTTTTTTCATCTCTCCATGGAGCAATTGGATGAGTAGATATTCCCACTATTTTTGGAGGGATTTATAAATGGTCATTGAAGCATTCCTCGACCGCCAAAGCACAATGCCGAATGCCGAATGCCCCATGTCCAGCCGGGTATCATAAATATTCCAACTATCGCTGGCTGGCTATCGCTATTCCCTAGCGGGGCAACAGGCCACATTCCCAGTCCCCAGTCCCCATTCCCCATCTCTAATCCCCCCCGCCTCCTTTTCAGCACTTGTTCGAGCAATTAAGCGGCCCTTTCAAAACAAATTGAAATGCAAACGCGCAGCAAATTGACTGACTCTCAGCTCCCAATCAATTGACCGAGGCTAACACACTCGCACACACACAGCTGGACATCGGCACGTATACGTAATGCAGGTGGCTCTCACAATTGTGATGAAGTGCCACTGGATGCTGGCAGTGGCACTGGCACTAGCACACCATCGAATAAATGCCCGAAAAACGATGGAGCAGAGCCTGATGATTGCTTAAAGCCAAATGCCATTCGCACTGCCTCATTATTGGGGCCGCGGGTGCCTGCCGCGGGCGCCACGGGGGTGCCACGGGCATGCCACGGGGAATACGGTGGGTAAATTGAGGCCAGGCCAAGAGAATAAATCTGATTAATAATTAGAAGCAAACAAGGACAAGACAACTCTCTCTCTATCTCTCTCTCTCTCTCTCTCTACCACTCTCTCTATTTGCTTAAACCGCACGCCACTAAATTAAAAATGTCCCTCGGGCAATTTATCTTGGCAAAGGCAGAACAAAAAAAAAACCAGCCTGAAAACCTAAGGCCAAAGAGCTTTAGTCGACACAACGAATTATGGATACCCGTTAAAAGGGGAAAACATTAATTAATGAAAAGAAAAGACTATTAAAACTTCATTTTTATTCGATTATAAACAAATCCATAGATGATTGACTCTCTGCTAATTCCCGTATTTCCGATTGATTGATCGATGGAAGGTCGCACAATAGTAGCTAAAATGTACCTGTAAATATGTCTATAGTAGTGTCTGCCCTAAGGCAGATCCAAACCTAGCAGGGCAATCGCTCTCTGTTAAGAGCCTGTTACCTGTCTTCGTTTACAGCCTGTGGCCGCTCCCGGTTACAGCTCACTGCTAGCGCTGTCTGACAGCGCTCTGAGTGCCTTAGCGCTCGCTCTCACGATCCACACGGCTCTCTCTCGAGTGTCTTAGTTGGAACCTAAACCCAAACCTCCTACACCCTCCAACAAAAAGAGGTCTGTCCAAATTAATGTCAAAGAAAAGCTTCATATCCATGTGGATACAAGCACAGTATACCCTTTTGTAATCGCATTCGTAATGGGTGAGCCCAGCAAACAAAAAGAACCCCCCACAGGCGATGATCAATGTGGCATTGTTGAGAGATGGCGGCAAAAGTTTGACCAGCTTCGGCCAGCGGTTTTTAACTAAGCGAAAGCCGTGCGGCATGCGGCATGCGGCAAGGTACGGTAAGGAGGGGAAGCCATGAGAGGAAGCCAGAAATAAATCCTTGAGCATATTAAAAACCCAAAAGCCCCAAAATGAGTTTGTTTGGTCAAAGGCAAAGCGTACGAAAAAAAACGAAAAACGAAGGGAAAACTGTGGGGGAAAAAAGTGAAAACCAGACTGAAACCCATTCTGCCGCTTCTGACGCTCTTGTTCTCCGGCTTGGTTGCATTCTTTGTGGACTCTGTGGACTCAAACAAATCAAAGCATTGGTGGATGGTCTTAGGAAAACATTAAATATGACAGTTCTAAGATGCAGGAGCCTGGTGCTGGAGCTCTAGAATGGGAAAAGGAACACTGTACAGGGCAGCAGCTCTAACAGGCCAAAAGCGCTGTTAAGACAGCATATTAACAGCCTGTTACCGTACCGTTCTCCGTTAACAGCCTGTCGCTGCTCATGCTTACAGCTAACTGTAATCGCTCTCGCACTGTTAATGTTGCTGTTGCTGTTACTGTTACTCAGTCTCACGATCCACAGCAGGAAGGAGGATCTTCCCTTCGCTTGGATCGCTTTTGCAGCTAAAATCAACATTCTGTTTAATTTTCCATATGAAATATCCCAATATCCCGAAGGGGGGCACTCCACACAGCAAATTCGAATGAAATCCCATTGAGAGCATTCCAATTCCTGATGATTCCTACTCCTATTTGGTTATGCAACCAATATTTGCAGCGCCGATGATGATACAGATGAGCCGGGCAAACAATCTGATTATCCTATGAGCTGGGCAGAGACCTCTCGTTGTTGGTTCAGACTCGGATAATATTCCGTTTTCGATTCGATGTGGTCCTGGCTTAGCCTACTGCCCCATGCCATCCATGGCTGGGGGATTTCTTATGGTGTGCTGTTCTGCGGTTGATCCAGGGTACTGGGTACTGGAAACCCGGTCCAGGCAGGCGGCCTGCTGCTGCCTAGAACTTGTCGAGTGTCATGGCCATGTTTGTCCTTGCCGGATGCGACAATATAAATTGTAATTAATAAATCAAAACAGCAGCAGGCAGCCAGCAGCAGCAGTGGCAGTGGCAGCAGCAGCAGCAGCAGATACAGATACAGATATGCAACTTTATGGGGCAGCAATCAAAGTCAGTGAGATGGCAGGGATGGGGTGTATGGACAGAGCTCGTGGCTCCATTAGATCTGGCCAAAAGTTTGCTTTTGCTTTTGCATTTGCATTTGCTTTGGCTGGCAAACTTTTTGGCCCAATAGAAATTATGGCACAACTTTTGGTTTATTTTTCAATGGTTCTCCCTCTCCCTCTGTCTCTTTGTTTTTCCTTTTAGCCACAACTAAATGAAATTGTTTTAAAATTTGGCTAAAACCCTTTGGTCCAACAAAACGAAACACACACATGGGAGTCACACACTTACACACACACACACACACACACACACAGACTGACACTCTGCTGTCTCGTCTCTCCTTGTCGCCTGTCCTGTCTGCTGCGCATGGGGAAACTTTCGCCTGCTGCTCTCATTAACGCCCTCCCACAAAAGTTTAGCTGGTACGAGGGGGCGTGGCACAAATCAAACGGAAATTAAAAGCAAACTGGGAAAACCGCTTGACACACCCCACAATCTAGAATCTAGAATCTACAATCCCGCATCCACAGACCCCTCCCCCTCCCCCTCCCATCGTATTGGCATTCCCATTCCCATGGAAAAAGCAAAAAGCGAATCCCAGGGATAGCTAACAGCTAACAGCTAGGGCTAAGCTGTCTGAGCATAACGCATCATTACGTTGACAAAAATGGGCAGCCCGGCAAATGGCATCCAGCATCCAGCAAACAGCAAATACATTCAGTGGGGTGTTGGCAGTGGATGGGGTGGCTGTGGCTGTGGGTGTGGGTGCCATAAGAATTTGAATTTTCATGCAGGCAAAGAAAAGCGAAAGGAAGCAACAGCGCAGCAACGGTAGCAAAAGGAGGAAAAGCACAGAAAATGGCTAAATGCCGGCATAAAAATGCGATGCACCCCGCATGCTCATCGAAGGATGGGGAGGAGGGCAAAGGCAGAGGCAGAGGCAAGAGAGCTGGTCATGAGCCAAAGCCGGAGCCAGACAACAAGCGTCTATGGCAACATAAACATTTGCCTTGCCAGGATCTGACATGCCCCCCGGGCACCAAGGGGCACACACACCACACACACACACACACACACACACACACAGAGCACAGAGAACATTCGCTGCTCGACTTGGCCTGGTGTCTGGCACTGCCACTGCCACTGCTACTGCTACTGCCACTGAAGTGAACCATTTAGGGCTCGTTCCCAGCCTCGAGGTGGGTGCTGCCAAATCTGTTGGGCACTGTTCCCATGGCTCTCCCTTCCTTCCTTCCTCCCTTCCCCACTGGTGCTCTGTTCAATAAGGTGCAGATAAAGTAAAGGTGATTATAGCTCGCTGAGAAGTGTAGCCAAGAAAAAGGAATCTGAAGGAATACGCGTACCTTTTGGTGGGAGGGAATCTGCTGAGGCCTGCAATCGATGGCTATATTCTCCACTCTCAGCTGTCTCTCAGCACTTTCAGCACTCTCCAGTTCTTCGATTTCTCCATCTAAAAATCGCTCAAGCAAATCCTTAGCTTTCCTGCATCGTTTTCCCACCACCTGCCAGCTCTTTTTCCAACACTTTTACTTGCCACTCCCCATGGAGTTCAGCCTTCTGCTTCTTCCTCACGTTCTTTCTCCATCGTTATCCAGCACTGATTTTCCGCCTGTTAGATCATTTTTTAGTCGTTGCAATCCGGCCATCCCGATTCTCCGCTTGTGTCTGTCTTTGCTTTGTTTGCTGTGTGCTTTTCTTATTATTTTTTTATATTTTTTATTCCACTTTCTTGTGTTTTTTTTTTGCAGCTTGTTTTGCTTACGAGACAACCGACGACGTTGACGATGACGACCATTTTGTTGTTTCCCTGTGAGTTTTTACCACTTGTCCTGCCTTCTGCTTTCACTATCTAGCCCATCCCCATCTCCATTGCCCATCCGTTCCGTTTTTGCCTGCCCTGTCCTGGCCTGTCCTGGCCTGGCCTGGCCCAATCTTGTGTAGTTAATGTGGCGTTCTAAAACGCAGTAGCTGCTGCTCTTGGCTACTACCCACTCCACTCCACTCCACACCACACCCATCTCTTTTGCTCGCTATAATATATGTAAACACTCAACCACACACACACACACGCGCACGCACACCCACACCCACGCAGAGAGGCACTGGCAGAGGCACAGGAACAGGCGCAGGCAGCAAGGGAACATCGCTTATTTGTATAGCATACTTTTTTGCGTAGTTTGTCGTTGTTTTCGCATTTGTTTGCCAAAAAAGTGGCTACTATGACGGCGATTGTGTGTGTGTGTGTGTGTGTGTGTGTGTGTGGGGGGTGTCTCT